TCACCCCAAGTGTGCCAGCACCAGGGACACCCCAGCAAGGGATTTTTGGGACACAGACCCGAAGCACAACCACGTGTCCCAGAGCCATCGTGCCACCACTTTGCCATCCCCACTCCCAGCTGGGCCAGCAAAGCCCCTCAAAGGAAAGGCCAGAATGCTGGGGACCCCACCAGAGCCACCTTCCCCCCTTAATTACCTTCCAGAAAGAGTCCATGTCGGGCAATCCGAAAAACAAACCTCGTCCCAGCTAACGAGGTGCCAAAGGCCAAGAGCAGGGCTCCTTTATGGGGCCACCATAACAACCTGGAGGACTCTGCCCAGCCCTTCCCAGCATGATGCAACCTCGGGGCTCACCGCATCCCAGCACAACCCACCGCCCCGGCACCTGCCACCGGCTCTAGCTGGGATTTCTGATTTTTGGGGTTTTTTTTGTGTTTTTTTTTTTTTGCACAGCATCCGGAGGCAGCTCCGGCGTTGGCGGGCGCACGCGCCGGCCGCGAGATGCGAAGCAGCATCCCCGTCCCCTGCGAAAACACGTGGTGCCAAAAAAGCCGCTCGCCGCCGGCTCCCAACTTCGATTTTTGGCAACGCTCTCCCCCCTGACCTCGGCGACGTCCCTTGGAGCCACCAGCAGCCGCTCGGGATGCCGAAAGTGCCAAACCGCGCCGCTCTCCGCACCGGGATAACCAAAATCACCGCCTGGGCGGGTGAGTGAGACCCCCCCTGAGGAGGAGCAGCTGTTTTTTCTGCCCACCTCCGTCCTGCCGTGACGGAAAGCGGGGGGGTGCCCGCGCCGGACCCCGGGACTTCGTCACGGCGAGGGATGACAGCTGCCACCGGCCCGGGTGACGTCACGGTGACGTCACGGCGGGGAGCCTCATCGCCCTTGTTCGCATCACCCCCCGCCGCACCTCTGAGCTCAGCACATTTCGGGGGACGGCCGGGATGGGTTAATAGAAATAATGATTAATAAAGGCGAAAAAGCACACGGGGGAATTAACGATATGGGGGGGTGGGGGGACATGAGAGGGACATGAGGGGGACACGAGGGGGACATGAGAGGGGACACGAGGGGGACATGAGGGGGACATGAGAGGTGACATGAGGGGGACACGGCAGGGGACATGAGGAGACATGAGAGGGGACACAGGGGGGACATGAAGGGGACACGGCGGGGGGCACAAAGGGGATGTGGGGACACCAGGGGAACATGAGGGGGACATGAGAGGGGACATGAGGGGGACACGGGGGGATGTGGGGACATGAGGGAGGTGCAGGTGGCACACAAGGGGGACACGGACAGGGACACAGACATGCGACCCCACAACCCCAAAATGGGGTCACAGGACCCCCAAACCCCGCTCTTTGTGTCACTGTCCCCCAGGAAACTGCGACGGGGGGGGGGGAGCAGCCAAAAACCCCAAAAGCAGCCGGGGAGCCCCCAAAAAGCTCTTTATCCCCCCCCCTCAAATACTCTCCTGCCATTAAACCCCCGAGAACATCGTTAATTGTCCATCAATTTGGGTATGTTAATTGGGGAACATTGGTCATTTGGTTTGGATAAACCTGAGTCCAGGGCTGGATAAACCGGAGTCCAGGCTTGGATAAACCTGAGTCTAGGCTTGGATAAACCTGAATCCAGGCTTGGATAAACCCAAATCCAGGCTTGGATAAACCCGAGTCCAGGGCTGGATAAACCTCAGTCCAGGTTTGGATAAACCCGAGACCAGGCTTGGATAAACCCAAATCCAGGCTTGGATAAACCCGAGTCCAGGGCTGGATAAACCTCAGTCCAGGTTTGGATAAACCTGAGTCAAGGGCTGGATTAACCCAAGTCCAGGCTTGGATAAACCCGAGACCAGGCTTGGATTAACCCAAGTCTAGGGTTGATTCCTGCTGGGAGTGGGGATTTCTGTGGGGTTTATTTAGGATTTGTCCCCAGACTCATTTAGGGGATCTCATGTGGGGGATGAACGGTATTCCCAACACCCGGAATGCTCTCGAGCTGCCCCCATCCCACCCCCGGTGGTTTGGGGCCCTGGTGTGCCCGTTCCTACTGGGAGTGGGGCTTTCTGTGGGCTTTATTCCCAAAAACTCATTTAAGGGATCTCGTGTAGGGGATGAACGGTATTCCCAACACCCGGAATGCTCTCGAGCTGCCCCCATCCCATCCCCGGTGGTTCTGGGGCCGTGGTGTGCCCGTTCCTGCTGGGAATGGGACTTTCTGTGGGGTTTATTCCCAAAAACTCATTTAGGGGATCTCGTGTGGGGGATGAACAGGAATTCCCAAGGTCGGGAATGCTCTCGAGCTGCCCCCATTCCACCCCCAGTGGTTTGGGGCCATGGTGTGCCTGTTCCTACTGGGAATGGGGATTTCTGTGGGCTTTATTTAGGATTTGTCCCCAAAGCTGAAGGGGTCGGGTCGGAGCATCCTTCCCTCGGCTGGGGCGGTCCGCGCTAACGAGCGGCTTGCCAAGACGCTGATTAGTTATGCAAATGAGCGCGAAAGACACCCCGGCAGGGCAGGAGAGGGTCTGAGAGCTCAGCCTCGACCTCCGCCACCTTCCTCCTCCTCTTCCTCCCGCCGCAGACCCTCGCGGACGGGGGAAAAAAGCTGGAACTGAGCCCCGGGGGGACAGCAGGAGCTGCAGCCGGGCCTCCCGAGCCGGAGGAACTGGTGCGACTGGTGGAACTGGTGCTGGGAAGGGGCCGGGAGAGACTCCGGGCCGTGGGAACCGCGGCACGCCCGGCCCGGGCCGCCGGCACCCCGGGAGCATCCCAAAAATTCCTATTTTTCCCCTAGATCCTGCTTGGGAAAGCGCCGCGGATAAACGCCGGGTTTTGAGTTTTCACCAAGGGCAAAGTCCTCGCCTTGCCTCGGCGAGCCACCCGTGCCAAGGTCCGTGCCACCCCATGCCAGCCTCCCACAGGGAAAATCCCCCTGGAGGCGGCAGAAAAGCGCCAAAAAAAAGGAAAAGCTTTTTTTTGGGGGGAACCAAAAGCGCTCAAAAAGCACCAAAAAAAGCAAAAGCTTTTTTTGGCGGGGGACGACCAAAAGCACCCAGAAAAAAAACCCCAAAAAAAGTGCAAAGCAACACGGAATTTTGGGGTTTTTAAAGGGGGAAAAGCAGCGAAATCAACGCCAAGCAGATGTTTCTCCCTCCCACGCTGGAGACCCCCCAGCCGGAGCAGCTCCCCCCCTTTTTTTTTTCTTTTTTTGCGTGGGCACCAAATGTGAAATCCCGGTTCCAAGCACCCCGGCCGGTCAGACCAGAAGCGCCGAGGGGAGGAAGGCGCTGGAATTTTTATTTTCTTTTTTCTTTTTTTTTTTGGGCGAAGAAAAAACGCCGCAACTTGTTTAGCTCCGGGCACGGCTCTGCCTCCCCCTTCCTTGGCACCCCCTCCTTTTTGGGGGGCAGCCGTGCAGCGTTTTGACAGAAATCCCCAGGAATTGGGTTCAAAGTTGGGTTTTGTTCCGCCCGTCCCGCGGCGCTGCTTTGGGGATGCCCCAGGGACGAGCTGAAATTATTATTTTTTTTTTTGGGGGGTGGGTTTAAGGCTTCCAAGTGGCCTTTAAGGCAGCAGAAAGTCCCATTTCCCACGGAAATACCCTTAAAAAAAAACCCCAGCCACCAACACCACCAAGGGGGGGCTTTCCCTGCGCGCCCCCACCAGCCCCCTCCGAGCGACGGTGACAAAGGGGTCACAAATCACCCCAAAAAGCGGGGACGAGAGGGGGGTTTGGGGGAGCCGGGGGTCGCTCACCTCCCTGCGGAGCCTCTCCATCTCCATCCCGGGGGGGGCAGAGTCAGATTTCGGGGCTTCCCCCGGCCGGGGGGGCGGCTGGCCCGGGCTGGCGGAGCCCCCAGCCCGGCGACAGGGACATGGCGGGGTCACCGCGTCCCCCGGCCCGGGGACACCGCCGACTTCTGGGGGACAGAGCCCGAGTCACCCCGAGTTTTAATTTCCAGCCCGGGGGGGGGGGGGGGCCCCGCTGTCTCCCCACCCCTCCCGCCCCATAACCCCCCCCAAAACCGGGGTGCTGCCGCTTTTAATCCCACCCCTTCTTTCTTCCAACCCCATTTTCCTTTTCTCTCTTTTCCGATTTTTTTTTTTTTCCTTTTTCCTCCTTCCCCCCCCACCCCCCGCACCCTCAACCCCGCGCGGCTCCGCACAACTTCCCAACTTCAGCCGGCAACTTTCCACCTCCCCCAAATCCCCGAATTTCCACAGGAAAAAAAAAAAAAAAATTACATTTACCGGCAAAAAAACCAAACCAGGGGGTTCGCTCCCCTATTTCCCAAGGGGGTCGGCCGGGGCTGAGCGCGCTGCTGGCGGCGGGGGGTGGCGGGGACCCCGAGGGGCTGGGGGTGTCGCCGGGACCCCGGGGGGACCCGCGGAGCCGCCGCACGTTGCTGCCGCCGCCGCCGCCGCCGCTCTGCTGCTTCCTTTGTTCTGCAGCGCCCGCTCGGGGGGACCCGCCGGGAGCACGGGGGGCTCCGGGCCCGCGCGGGGGTAACGGGGGGAACCGGGAGGGGGAGAGCCCCGGGGGGAACGGGGGGAACCGGGAGGGGGAAAGCCCCGGGGGGAACGGGGATAATGGGGAGGGGGAGAGCCCCGGGGGGAACGGGGGGAACCGGGAGGGGGAGAGCCCCGGGGGGAACGGGGGGAACCGGGAGGGGGAGAGCCCCGGGGGGAACGGGGATAATGGGGAGGGGGAGAGCCCCGGGGGGAACGGGGGGAACCGGGAGGGGGAGAGCCCCGGGGGGAACGGGGGGAACCGGGAGGGGGAGAGCCCCGGGGGGAACGGTGTGTTTTTGTAGGGTCTCACACCAGGCCGAGCAGCATCCCCCATCCCCCTTTTAGGACCCAAATCCTCGTGGTTTTCCCCCAAACCCATGGGGGGCCCGTCAAAACACCCCAAAACTGGGGGCACAACGTCCCCCCGTGTCCCCCCAGGGCCACCCCGACCCTCCCACCCCGAGACACAGAGCAGCTCCTCAGCGATCTGATCTTAATTTAAGGGGAAAAAATGAAATATAAATTAACAAATGATGGGGGTTGGGTCAAACACCGGGATTTTCCTCGGGAATTCCAGCAGCAAATCCACCCCAAAGACGGGCAGGGGTCACAGCAAGGACCTGGGGACCCCCTGAGCCCAAAACCCCACACGGCTCTGAGGATCCAGCCCCGGCCAGGACAGAGGGGCTGGGGGACAGTGGGGACCAGGACGTGTCCCCTGTCCTCGGGATCGTGTCCCTTCTCCTTGGAATTGTGTCCCTGGTCCTGGGGATTGTGTCCTTTGTCCTCTGGATCGTGTCCCTGGTCCTTGGGACCGTGTCCCCTGTCCTTGGGACTGTGGCCCTTCTCAGGTCTGTGTCCCCTGTCTTTGGGACTGTGTCCCTTGTCCTCAGGGTCATGTCCCCTGTCCTCAGGACCGTGTCCCTTGTCCTCGGGGTCTTCAGGCAGATGCTGCCCCTTGCTCGGAGCCCAGGGGCTCGGGATGGGCTGGCACGGGGTGGGCACTCAGGGATGTCACAAAGGCCTCCACCTGCAAGGACAGCCTGGCTGAAGGGTGGCACCGGGCTGGGGCAGGGGTGGCACCAGGGTGGCACTGGGACAGTGCAGGGATGGACTGGGATGGAACTGGGGTGGAACTGGGGTGGAACTGGTACTGGGACAGTGCAGGAATGGATGGGGTGGCACCAGGATGGCACGGGGGCTGTGCCACCCAGCCCACCCGTGGCACCCACCTGTGCCATGAGCAGGCCCTGCCTGGCCACGTCGTGCTCGAAGTCCTGCTCCACGTCCAGCACCAGGACGGGCGCGCTCCGTGCTGCTGGAAAATGGATCCTGCAGAGGGACAGAGGGGCCTTAACCCAAAAACACCCCAAGAACACCCCAAATAACCCCAAAACCCAGGGCACCCCAAAGCTGGGGACTCATTCGGTGGCCCTGGCCACCAGCCAGAGCTCGCGCTGGCCGTGCAGCTGCTGCAGGCAGCCCAGCTGGATCCCGCCCTCCTGGGAGGGGTTCAAAGGTGTGGAACTGCAGGTGTGCAACCCTGGGTGTGGAGCCCCAGGTGAGCAATCCCAGGTGAGCAATTCCAGGTGAGCAATTCCAGGTGTGGAACTCCAGGTGTGGAACTCGAGGTGAGCAATTCCAGGTGTGGAACCCCAGGTGTGGAACCCCAGGTGTGCAATCCCAAGTGACCAATCCCAGGTGTGGAACTGCAGGTGTGCAACCCCAGGTGTGCAACCCCCGGTGTGGAACCCCAGGTGAGCAATCCCAGGTGAGCAACTCCAGATGTGCAACCCCAGGTGTGCAACCCCAGATGTGCAACGCCAGATGTGCAACTCCAGGTGAGCAACCCCAGGTGTGCAATCCCAGGTGTGCAACCCCAGGTGTGGAACCCCAAGTGACCAACCCCAGGTGAGCAACCCCAGGTGACCAACCCCAGGTGAGCAACCCCAAGTGACCAACCCCAGGTGAGGACCCCCGGAGCGGAGCCCCGGTGCCCCCCGTGCCCCGTGCCCACCTGGGGGCTGGCGCGCAGGTACAGGAAGGCGTGGGGGGCGGCGCGGGGCCCCAGGTGCCGCAGCAGGAACTGGTGCCAGTCCTGGTAGATCGCCCACTCCAGCGGCTGCAGGTGCCCGGCCTCGAACAGGCTCTGGGCAAAGACGTACCTGGGCACAGGCAGCTCCAGATTTGCACAGATTTGGGGTTTTTTGGGTTTTTTTGGGGTTTTTTTGGGGTTTTTTGGGGTTTTTTTGTACTCGTGAGGAGATGCAGGTGCTACTCCTTGGTGTATACAAAATGTATATTAAAAATATACTATATATAAAATTACTATATATATATATATTTTATATATATATATAAATAAAACATTTTTTAAAACCATTAAAAATATATAAAATATACATGAAATATATATAGAATATAAATAAAAATATAAAAATATATCATACATAAAAATATATTATATATTATATATATAAATATAAAAATATATATTATATATAAAAATATAGAAAAATATATAAAAACAAGGAGCTGCAGCTGCTTCTCCTTGGCGTACGTAAAATATATATTAAAAATAGCAAATAAATTTAAAATACAAAAATATATAAAATATATATTAAAACATTTAAAAAAATATATATATAATATAGAGAAAACATATCTAAAAATATATAATATAATCTATATAATATAATTTATATTATATATATTATATGTAATATATATAATATATATTATATACATATATTATATATATTATATAATTTATATATATTAAAATATATAAAATATATATCATATACATATATTTTATATATATAATATATATACATTTAAAAATATATATAAAAATGTAAAACATATAAAAATAAAATACATCAAAAATACATGTTTCATCTACAAAATGGCACGAAGACAAGACCAAGGTTCAACCTAAGGTTCAGTTAAGGTAAAAAACCCCAATGTGGGGCACACGTGGTGCCCACCGAGACGGGCATCCCCCAAAAGCCTTCAAGGGCCACCCCCCAAACACCCCCAAATGCCATTGCTGCCACTCAGCACCCCTGTGGGGACACTCTGCCCACCCTGGGCGCCCACCCCCAGCCCGTGCCCCTTTTTGGGGTACCTGTCACTGAACACCGAGCGCTCAAAGACCCGCACGGCCGGGGGGGTCCCGGGGGTGCCCCCGCCCTCCTCGGGGGGCTCCAGCGCGGCCTTGAGGCGGCTCAGGCACGACAGGGTCTGGAAGGTGTAGGACCAGCGGGCAGGCTCCTGGGACATCAGTGGCAGCAGGTTGGCACAGCCCTGGGGCTCCTGCGGGGACATTTGGGGTGGCAGCAGGTTGGCACAGTCCCCTGACACCTATGGGGACATTTGGGGTGGCAGCAGGTTGGCACAGCCTCCTGACACCTATGGGGACATTTGGGGTGGCAGCAGGTTGGCACAGCCTCCTGACACCTATGGGGACATTTGGGGTGGCAGCAGGTTGGCACAGCCTCCTGACACCTATGGGGACATTTGGGGTGGCAGCAGGTTGGCACAGCCTCCTGACACCTATGGGGACATTTGGGGTGGCAGCAGGTTGGCACAGCCTGGGACACCTGCAGGGACATTTGGGGTGGCAGCAGGTTGGCACAGCCCCTGACACCTATGGGACATTTGGGGTGGCAGCAGGTTGGCACAGCCCCCAGCACCTGTGGATTTGGGGTCAGGGCTGGCAGCAGGCTGGCACAGCCCTGGGACACCTGCAGGGACATTTAGGGTTGGGGGTGGCGTTACCTGGGCAGTGCCAGCGGCCGGCTGCACCTTGCGCCACTGCGCCACCGGCTCTGTCACCAGGTGCCACCGCGGGAAGGTGGCAGCCAGCAGCTTCAGGAAGGTCGATTTCCCCACGGCTGCGGGAGGGGAGGGAGAGCAGCGTCAGCCTGGGGGTGTGGGGTGAGCCCGGGGTCCCCGGGGGTGTGGGGTGAGCCCGGGGTCCCCCCTGTCCCAGCTCTCGGGGATATGGGGTCAGCCTGCTGTGCCCCCATCCCAGCTCCTGGACATGCGGGGTGAGCCGGGGTGTCCCCAACCCTGGCCCTAAGGGATGTGGGGTGATCCTGGGTGTCCCCAACCCTGGCCCTAAGGGATGTGGGGTGAGCCGGGGTGTCCCCAACTCTGGCCCTAAGGGATGTGGGGTGAGCCGGGGTGTCCCCAACCCTGGCCCTAAGGGATGTGGGGTGATCCTGGGTGTCCCCCAGCTCTGGCCCTAAGGGATGTGGGGTGAGCCGGGGTGTCCCCCAGCTCTGGACTCTGGGAATGTGGGGTGTCCCCCCAGAAAATCCCAGTAACATGGGGTGAGCCGGGGTGTCCCCCTGCCCCAAATCCCGGGGTGAGCCTGAGTATCCCCCCCGGGACACGGGCTGAATCTGGGGGTCCCCCCACCCCAAATCTCGGAAATATCGGGGTGAACCTGGCGTTTCCCCACTGTGGGATAAATCCGGGGGTGCCCGTTCCTGGCTCCTGGGAATGTGGGGTGACCCGGGTGACTCCAACCCGACCCCCAAGAATTTGGGGTGACCCGGGTGCCCCTAACCCGGGGACAGCCTTTGTGTCCCTCTCCCAGCTCCCAGCAGCTCGGGGGTTTTGGGGCGCCCCCCAGCAGCGGTAATTAAGATAATTACAGCCATTAACTCGCAGCCCGCGCCGCCCCCGCTCCCCTCGCCCGGGGTCACCAAAACCACATTGGGGTCACCAGAACAACATTGGGGTCACCGATACGAAATTGGGGTCTCCAACATGGGGTTGGGGTCCCCAAAACCACATAGGGGTCACCAATACAAAACTGGGGTCCCCAGCATGGGGCTAAGGACATCAACATGGGGTTGGGGTCACCAAAACCACATTGGGGTCACCAGAACAACATTGGGGTCACCGATACGAAATTGGGGTCTCCAACATGGGGTTGGGGTCCCCAAAACCACATAGGGGTCACCAATACAAAACTGGGGTCCCCAGCATGGGGCTAAGGACATCAACATGGGGTTGGGGTCACCAAAACCACATTGGGGTCACCAGAACAACATTGGGGTCACCGATACGAAATTGGGGTCTCCAACATGGGGTTGGGGTCCCCAAAACCACATAGGGGTCACCAATACAAAACTGGGGTCCCCAGCATGGGGCTAAGGACATCAACATGGGGTTGGGGTCACCAAAACCACATTGGGGTCACCAGAACAACATTGGGGTCACCGATACGAAATTGGGGTCTCCAACATGGGGTTGGGGTCCCCAAAACCACATAGGGGTCACCAATACAAAACTGGGGTCCCCAGCATGGGGCTAAGGACATCAACATGGGGTTGGGGTCACCAAAACCACATTGGGGTCACCAGAACAACATTGGGGTCACCGATACGAAATTGGGGTCTCCAACATGGGGTTGGGGTCCCCAAAACCACATAGGGGTCACCAATACAAAACTGGGGTCCCCAGCATGGGGCTAAGGACATCAACATGGGGTTGGGGTCACCAAAACCACATTGGGGTCACCAATACAAAATTGAGGTCACCAATACAAAACTGAGGTCACCAACAGGGTTTGGGGTCAAGGGTGTGGGGTCAAGGGCATGGACATGTTGTTGAGGTCCCCAGTCAGGGTGGGGGGCATTGAAATGGGGTTGGGGACATCCCCTGAGGGTGACATCGATGTGGGGTTGGGGACACTGTGGGGAGGCTGAGGGTATCGAGGGCTGGGGGCATCAGCCAAGGGTCAGGGCCACCAACACCACATTGGGGTCACCAACATCGGGTTGGGGGCATCATCAAGTGTTGGGGGTCACCAACATGGGGTCAGGGGCATCATCAAGGGTTAGGGGTCACCAACATGGGGTCAAGGGCATCATGAAGGGTTAGGGGTCACCAACATGGGGTTGGGGGCACCAACATGGGGTTGGGGGCATAATCTCAGGGTTGAGGTCACCAACATGGGGTTGGGGGCATCATCTCAGGGTTGGGGGCACTGATACGGGGCCAAGGGCATTCCCATGGGGTTGGGGACATCAAGGCCACCAGCAGGACACGCCACCAAGGTGAGGTCAGAGCTCCTTCCCCCATCCCCCCCAGCCCTCCAGGAAGGCTCCGAGCTGGAGAAAAGGCTTTTTAATGCACGGTGGGCGGTGGGGAGGAGCAGCGGGGCCAGGGGAGGAGCGGGGCACCCCAGCCTGGGCACGGGGAGCCCCCGCGGGGCGGGGAGGGGGCTTAGAAGCATTTTCGGTGGACGATGGAGGGTCCGGCCTCGTCGTACTCGGGTTTGCTGATCCACATCTGCTGGAAGGTGGAGAGGGACGCCAGGATGGAGCCGCCGATCCACACCGAGTACTTGCGCTCCGGCGGGGCGATGATCTGCGGGGACAGCGGCCTGTAGGATCACCCCAAAACCCCGCGGCGGGAGGGGAGCTGGGGTGCTGGCGGGCTGCTTTGGCCAGCCAGGGCCCACCTTGATCTTCATGGTGCTGGGGGCCAGGGCGGTGATCTCCTTCTGCATGCGGTCGGCGATGCCCGGGTACATGGTGGTGCCCCCGGACAGGACGTTGTTGGCGTACAGGTCCTTGCGGATGTCGATGTCGCACTTCATGATGGAGTTGTAGGTGGTCTCGTGGATCCCGGCGGACTCCATGCCTGGCGTGGCAGGGGGCTGTCACCTCCCTGTGCCCCGCCCGTGCCCCCCACAGGGCTCCCCAAAAGAGCAGCCGTGGGTCTGGCCCAGCACTGGTGGTGCCAAGCGCTTGGGGGAGCCCCAAAACGCCTCCATGGGGCACCCACGGGAGCTGGGAGATGCCAAAGGGGCATTTTCTGTTTGTCTGCTGGTGGGGATGGGGGCAACCACGCCCAGGGGGAATTGGGGGTGGGCTCAGTGAGGAAGGAGGGCTGGAGGAGGGTCTGGGGGCACTGGAACAGGGTCTGGGGGCACTGGAGGAGGGTCTGGGGGCATTGGGGTGGGCTCAGCCATGAATGAGCTAGAGGAGGGTCTGGGGGCTCAGGGATGAAGGAGGGCTGGAACAAGGTCTGGGGACACTGGAACGGGGTCTGGGGGCTGGGACAGGGTCTGGGAGGCACTAGAATGGGGTCTGGGGGCACTGGAGGAGGGTCTGGGGGCTGGGACAGAGTCTGGGGGCACTGGGGTCTGGGACAGGGTCTGGGGGTGCTGGAGGAGGGTCTGGGGACACTGGAGGAGGGTCTGGGGGCACTGGGGGCTGGAACAGGTTTGGGGGCACTGGAAGGGGGTCTG